CAAGCTAGCTAGCTTAAGCAGTTAGATGTTGTAATAACATTAGATTAGATTTGTATAGGTTAATGAACAGAGTGTTTAAATAAGTAACTCACAAGTAGATTACAGGTATGATAGTATAGTGTAAAACCAATCAGGTGGCCAAACACCTGTACAGTAAACTACTTAAAATAGATAAAGACTAAAGTTGTATATATAGCTTGTTATATACTTTTCATATAATTACAAACAGTAAGAATTATTAATATATAATTCCATTGATAATACTAATAAAAATTCTCTTAGCAATATAAGCTACCTTAACAACAAAAAAAAAAAATTAGTAAAGTTTACTATTTATAACATAAGACTTAATATACTAAATTTTTTTTAAAAAACTAATTTATTATATAATTATTTGGTCTACTAGAAACTGAATATATATTTTATATTTAGTTATAAAATTTAATTTGCAATACTTATATAAGATTTTTGCTAACTAAATAATCCTTCAGAACTAGTTTAGAAAGACTATTTAATTAGTAAAAATCTCATATTATTCTGTATTTATCTGCTAATAATTTAATTTATATAATCAATTTAGAGAAATTTAATTATATATTATAAATTTTAATTTACAAATTATTTTTTTACTTGCTAGTGATTTAATTCATACAATTGATTAGATAAGTTTTATTGAATTAACTTTTACACTGTTTTATAAATAAATTTTCTTGAATTTACTAAACAGTATAAGAGATAAGTAAATTTCATATAATAGATATTCAAACTTGAACATATTTATAAACTTTTAAACTAAACTTTGAACCAAACTAGATCTGTTTAAAAAGTTTAAAATTAAACTCAGACAAATATTAGTTTTAAAAAAGTTTGAGTTTGAGTTTAGTTCAAAAACTGAACCAAATTCAAACTTGTCTAAAAGTTCAGTTTAGTTTAGTCTGTAGAGTTACTATAGATAGATTAATAGTACATAGCTATGATAATAGATTAAAGAAGAAAAAAAGTAGTTAGCATATATGTAATACTATCTTCTTCGATTTTGTTGAAAATAATATGAAGAGTATAAAAGAATATATTAATACTTACTAAGTTATATATGATTAAAAGTTGATACAAAATTATCTTTCTGATTATACAATCTCTTTTGTTACTAACTAGTCTAATCAGTTCTTTATTTATAAAGCTATTATATAATAGCTCCTTGCTAATAATGAACTTATTCCTCAATTAATTATATCTGTTTTGTCTATGATGAGTCCTCTCCATATATCTTTAAATATATATGAATTTGTTTTTGATTAGAATTCATTTTTTTTTAATAATATCTATAAATTTATATTTAGAGAAAATAGGAAGCTTGACAAGAATCTACAACTATAGAAAATTTCATATTATACATATAGTATGAGTTGATATAGTTGATGTTATATATTTAAAATTCAGTTATATGTACAAAGCTTTTAAATTTTTATATATTACAGATCTATTAAACAATTTAATCATTTTGGTTCTTGATATTTATATAATATATCATCAGAAAAGCAATTAGCTAGCTTATGAAGAAATCTGCAATATTACTAGTATGATCTTTTTCTTCAGTTTGATTGAAAGAATTATAAATATATCTCTTTAATACTTTTCTCAGATATTTTTTACTAGATGGAAATTAATTATCTAATATATAATATGATTATAACAAATCTTGAATCTTTAAGTAATTGTCTTATAGAAACTATTCATAATATTATCTGATAATATACTGCTAAATTTTTTTCAGCTTAACAACTACAGAAAGAAGTATATTATATTTTTCAAAACTGAGAGAAGAATGAATTTCAAAGATACTTCATAATTTTTAAAAAATATCTATATATACCAAAGTAATTAAATCTTCTTTTTTAAAAATATGCTATACAGCTTTTAGATATATTTTCAAAAATATATCAAGCTTATCACAGATATTCTTCAATTATTCAATTTTTATCTGATGGTATTAATATATATAAATTGTTTTTTTTTAAATTATAAAATAACAAAGTTCAGTGATCTTAGTGTAGTAGTTAGATTGTCAGACTGCTATACAAGAAGTCTAGAGTTCAAATCTCACTGTCAACAGAATTAAATAATTACCTAGACATCTATATCTAACTTATAGTAAACTCTGTCCGTTTCTGAGAATTGTAACCTTAAAAATCATATTGCACTAATATTATTCAGATATTTGAAGTATGACAGAGCACTCGAGGAATATAACATTATACAAATAAATCTTAATAGGATCTATAAACAGAGGACCTACATAGCAGAAATCCTAAATTAGATAAAGTAGTATGAATTTTGATAGTCATACCAGTTAACATTTGATCTGAGAAGGAAAATCTGTATATGAAAAGATCAGTGACTAGGATGCAAGTAAGTCTGTTAGAAAATCTGCATATGAAAAGATTAGCAAAATGAGTACACATAAGTCTGTTATACGAGATTATATAGCAACACCAACCTGGTTTGGCAGCTAACTAGATTTGAGAAGATTTGTTCTGGGTAATATCTAGAGGCATAGACAACTTTTGGTAGTACCAATCTGAATAGTAACCAGATTTGGGAAGGCCTATCTCATGTGATATCTGAAGGTACAGATGACCAACTTGGTAGAAAGCCACAATAGGAACCAAGTTTGTATAAACATCAAATAAGGGTATATGTAAGCTAAATTAGGATATAGTATAGTATAGTTGGGTACTATAGCACTCTATCGATTAGAGAGTTGGTGAAGGTATACCTTGTAATAGGGTCTAGCCTCTGAATCATAAAGTTTGTAGACTAATATCAGCTTGGGTGTCTTCTAAAAAGAGAAGTAGTACAGGTTAAGTAAACTTTGATAAAATAAGGATAGAATACAAGTAAGTGTTATAAAGCTAGAGAGTTTAAATAGGTAATCTTCAAATAGATTGCAGGTATAGTAGCTAGTATAGAACCTTCAGGCAGACTACTTAATTTAGACAATCTAAAGTTGTACGTATGGCTAGTTATACTCTCACAATATGTAATATTTACTCACTATTAATACTAATAAAGTTTCAGCCAATAGTATTTGTATAAAGTTAAAAAAAAAAAAATTATAAAATAACAGATTATCATCTTTCACAAAGATTTGTTATATTTAGAAAATCTAATACAACAATTCTTTATGATTATTTATATTGCTATAATAGCTCTTCAATTAATGATATTATTCTTATATATGAATATAGTTATTATAATTATTGCTTACAAAGATATCAATTTAAATATTCAATATATTTAGAATATCTTTAAGGCAAAATAAAAAAAAATATTGATATGCTTATGACAAGTTTAATAAAAGATAATAAAAATTCTATTAAAGAAAATATTAAAAATACAGTTAATAATAATTCAATTATCGATAAGATAACAGATAATGCTAAGATAGTAGAAAATTTATTAGAACTTGTAACAGAATTATTTTTAAAATTGTAAAATTTTTTTAAATATTTATTATTTTGATTATATATTTATTAAATTTTATTTAAATATTCATTATTTTAATATATATTATTACTATTATTTTGATAAAATATTATACAAATATGCTAGTTTAACTTCAATAGTTAACTTGATAGTTAATTTAGTAAGTTTTATAGTCTTGATCATTTTATATTGATTATTCAAGTAACTTTATTTAATTAAATTAGGGTTTTGAATAATTAATTTAATTATATTTTTATGCAATTGTATCTACAAAAGTTGCTATATTAATATATAAAAAAAAAAAACTGGAAATGAATTTGAAAGCATATCTTCACTTTTTATATATTTGTTTAAAAGCAATAGCTAAATCAAAACTATAATAAAAATATGATTCTTATATTGTATTGATATATAATTAGTTAATTTTTTGATAAAATAAATTTGTATATATGATAAACATGAAGATTTTCATAATTATCATTACTATCTTATAAATATATTGTATTATAAATTTTTTATATTATTCATACTAATTTAATTAGCTAATTTACATGTTATAATATGATTTTTAATTAGCTAATTAATATCAGAAATTGATAAAAATAATCTGTATTTCATATAATCTAAGACAGTCTCCCTTGTAGTAGTATCTACTAGATAGGACTTAGATTTATAATAGTAAAGTTTGCAACTAATATCAGCTTAGATGCCTCCTAAAGTGAAGTAGTATAGAGTTAACATTAACTTAATGGTATAATAATTTAAAAATGATATTGTGTCAGAGAGTTTAAATAGATAATCTTCTAATAGATTTTAGGTATAGTATCCAGTATAGAATCTTCAGATAGACTATTTAATTGGTATAACGTTTCAGAATGATGATCAATTTACTAATAAGATATGATGCAGATTGTCACAAATAAAGCCCGATAATTTTTTTTGTGCTCAAAGCTAATGTTATTGTACAACTAGTATATAATAGTAATGCCATTGTTATTTAACGCACTAGAACCTAAAGAGTAACTTGGCAAAGAATTAGAACGTAGCGAACTTTAGTTAAAAAGTTTCATATATCGTGAAGTGACATTTGGGGTTCGAAATGTAAAGATCGATTTCATAAAGATTGCATTTCTAAAATCTCGAATAAACAATTTTCACCCGGTATTCAACTTTTTTTTCAATCTTTATAACTATGAAAATGTTTTACGTATCAAACTTATACCTTTTGTCTTTTTGCATAGCTATAAAAAAAAAAAAAAAAAAAACCAAAGAGACAAAGGTCGGAAAGCTAAGGAAATAATAAAAGAACTGAGTGGGTGAGCATGCGAATACGAAAGTGGTGTTAGATTGAGTATAGTAAGAGAAAAAAAGAATCAAAAATTCTAATTCTATATACTACCTGCTAACTTTTCTTTATTTCAATTTATACTGCCTGTTGAAATGTCTTCCCATAAAGTAGAATGTAGTGCCGTTTGTGTTGCCTGCTCCAAAAATCTTTTGTGATACCGCGATATCTATCCTTGGATCGTCGAGACTTTCAGTATTTCATCCTGTTCCAGTTCACCATTGTCAGCAAATTCTTTCAACCTATCATACATCTCTTTAGCCGTCATCCGATCTTTTGCATGAACGTTCCCCAATAAGAACATTTGTTCAAGCATTTTTTTTACAGTATTTGTCATTCGTTTTCCTCCACCTCGATTACCATATGCCACATTTTTATGCAATGCCCATCCTTTATTCCAAGGAAAGTCAACTGGTTCCATAACCATATAGGTATTCTGCTCTATATTTATTCAATGTTTGCTATTTAATGAAAAGGTGATAAATACGCATTATCAATTATTGTACTTATCTTCCTCTTTATCATCTCCTGAAATATCTATAGAATTTATTTTTATATATACAAAATTTATGTAATCTTGAATTCAAATAATAAATTTTAGTAGAATATGTTATCATTACCTATCATTTCAACATCGTCTGTATTCATTGTGTTCTGGCTTTGGTTTTCTGTATACAAAATTTTGTATAAATGTTATTGATGCAAATCATATATAATATTTCTTACCTTGAGGTTTTAGCAAAGTCATTTTCCATTTTGATTGAGGCTTAGTATGTGATGATATTTTTGGTTCTAGACGAAAAATTTCCTTATTACACAAATTAGCAATCATAGCAGGGGAAAAGCGAACTGAAGCTCCAAAATGTGGCAATGGACGTACTACGATATATCCTGCTAATGGGTCTGCAATTGGCTATTGCCAGAAATTATACTTAGATATTCCGGCAATAGTTTCTACACGTAGTTTTTTTTTTTCTTTATTCTCAAAATTTTCATTCTCATTTTTTTTTTGATTTCGATTTGGTTCTATATTTGCCAAATATGTACCTGCCAGATTTTTTGTGGCAGTTACAATATCAGACCCTTCTACTAAATCGCCTCCAACACGAACATATTGGTTGATAGCATGTGCTATCTAAATGAACAAGAATAATCAGGTATGATTTCAGCTATTATATATATATACACTTTTTTTTTTCCTATAAATAAATAAAAACTTACTGCAGCATGATGTGAATCAATTGTAGTCTTTGCTTCACCAGGCTCTAAAAATAGCCATTCACAAACCTCGACGCTGTACCAATCAAACCAATGGGCTACTATCGTTATTAGCTCACTATTATGATAGTGTGGCCCATTATCTGAGATTATTTTTATCCACTTTGGTTTATTTTCAATGCTGTTAAACACAGCTTCGAAACAAGATGCTGTAAACCATGCATCTTGTTTCGTATCTGTGGACCAATGATCATAGGCACTGATATTCAAAAAATCTACACCATTATCTTTAGTTATTATTAAGATCGTATGCAGTGTCCAACCTCTTTTACCAAAAAATTCTTGCTTTGTTTCTCGTGCCGTTTTGGGAAGGATTCTCATCTTATAATCTGCGATAATAATTGCACCTTCTGAATCAAGACTTGCCAATGATGCTTTATATTGTTCATTTAGGTAATATTTTCGAGCTTGGTGAGCAAGGAAGTATTTCAACTTTTCTTGCATTTCTAATAACTGAGAATGATATTTGTCATTACTGTTTTTTTTTATAAAATCAAAAAAGTTAGAAGTTTCTAAACATTCTTGACAACGCAAATAGTGTGGGCTTAAACATTCTCCAAATGCGAACAGTAAACAATGATCAATGCAATTATCATGTAATGGTTTTCCACCTGATTCGACTCTCAAATGACGTTCAAAATTTATTTTGAGGTGACGACGTAAGTTTTCAATTCATGATATTACGGGATCCTTTAATAATAATATGAAATTTAGTTATAGCAGTGTTGGTATTGGACATACGTCCAATGCCAACACTGCATTATAGCATTTAGAACAAATAACTAGTTAACATGTGCACAATATATTATGACTAACTATTTGTTCTAAAATAGTATTTATTATTATATAATCTATTACATATACTTACTAAGACTTCTTTTATTGTAAATATTTGTCGTGCAAGAGCTAGTAAATTTTTGAATACTTCAAATCCATATTCATTGCAAATAATACATAATCCACCCAAGTCTTCACGATATCGAATATGGCTACAATTGGCTAAACGGGTCATAAAAGAAGTTCGCCGCATTCCATTTGGATATGCTTCATTAAATTTCGTCCACAATGCTTCTTTTTGGTCTTGCATATATAAAATAGGAACTCCGGTTTTGGTATCAGTTTTATAAGAACTTTGTGCAACATTATTTTTATCTTGGAAAAAAGCTAGAAATTGCATTTCTTTAATTTCATCCATTTTTTGAACAGATTTTTTTGGACCTTGAATTTGTGGTGCGCCAGGTCCATACAGTCGAGAATGTTTACGTGCCAGTTCTACTACATGTGAACTAATCTAGTAGTTTTAGAGGAGTTGGAATTAATACAAGAATTTATCTTTAGATAAGCTAACAAAATTTATTTCATTTTCAAATAGGGTCGAATTAATAATCTTTATTATAAAATAAGGTTTTAAAACTCTCTTTATTTTTTGCTTCAAAATTTTTAATTACAGTTGATTTTTTAATCTTAGTTAATTTTATTTATTACAGCAGTGCACTATCTGAAAAACCCTAGAGACTAATACAAAATACTTGCAAAAAATATAAAACGCCCATAAGTATCTTATCGGTGATGTATCAGACTATTGGTATGAACACGTATATGCAATTGAGAAATTAATTGAGACAACATAAAAAATACCATTCATTATACCTTGGTCGCTATATCACAATCGCAAAGTATGAATTAGTTATACAATGGGTTCTATGTTTATAAGCGGAATTTCATTCCACTTATACTCATGCCACTCAGTATATAACTATTACAAATACCCAGATATTATCCTAGTAAATGCTATATAAATATCCGAGTATATTGTATGAGGGATACTGAAAAAACAGGTATTTCAGGCAGTGCACTATGTAATGTTTTTTTTTGGCTCTAAAATCTTCTCATTGAAAAAATTTGTTAGTAATATTATTTTTTGAATTTTATTTTTAAACTAACCTGAAGTTTTTTTTGAAGCTGTGTGTATTTAAATCGATCAGCTATAATAGACAATATTCGTGTTTTTCCATTTGGTCCACGTTTATTAGACATTAGAGCATTTTGAAAACTACTCCAGAAAATACTTCCAAAATTTTCTAAATCATCCAAATCTTCCGAATCCTCTGAATCTTCCGAATCCTCTAAATTTAAGTCTTCCAAATCAATATATAAGTGCCCAAGTTCATATAACATTTTCAAATTTGCTTTATCCATAGTTGGATCTTTTAATCGACTCCAAAATTCTTTTTTATTTTCTGCTTTAGGATATGGTGTTATGTTGGTGCATCCACATGCACGTAACATTGCTCTCCAAGCATGCAAGTCAGTTTTATTCAATTTATAAGTAGGTGGGTATATCATGGCAAGTGCATAACGGAACTCAATTATTGAATTTTCTTGATGCATCCAAGTAGCAAATAAATTTTGCCAATCTACTAATAGGCTAGTTGTTATTCTACGTTTTTTTATTTGTTGTTCAAATATTGCTTCCATTTTGCAAGAATCATTCCATTCATGTGAAGTACAAGTTATACTAGGATTAGAATTTGCCAAATTTATTTGAATCGCATTTTGAACAACTGGGTGATTAAATCTATATAGTGTTTCGCCATCAAAATTCATTGTAATTCCAACTTGTGACCATACACTGTTAGCAGATTGATCCTCGAAGTGCCATAATAGTTGATCTCCTTTGTAAAAATCTAGTGTGTATATATTATTATTTATTTTTTGTAGGGCGAGAGTTCTTTGGCTCTTTTTTGTTAATATTGATGATGTAAATTTTTTGTCCCCAATTTCTGATACCACTACTACATAATTTCCAATATTTAAAAAGATAGGCATAAACGCTATACCAGTTAACAATTTATCGACTATTTTTTTATTATTAAATCCAAGAATCGAGGGCCCTGAATAAGCTGTTTTTGTCTTTTTTCCAAAAATTATGTGATATATGCTGTTAATAGCTTGAGAAGGCGTTGAACAAACCTTACTTGTTTCACTACCACTAACACAGACAAATTCAGGTTGCAATCGATTTTCATCACCTTGAACTACTCTTAGATAAAATTGGCGTTGGTTAAGTATAACACTAATATGCATATAAAGTCGATATGGGACAGAGACTAGAACGTTATCTTTGCTATTAGATGGTCTCGGTGACCACCAATCACGAGCATAAAGGCCATAATGTAGTTTCGAACGTATTTTGCCTTCTGAAAGTAAACAGACACTTTTGTTAGTTGAGTTATTCATAGTTTATTAGATATATAAGATTCAGTTTTGGCATTTAGAACTGTAAAATTTTATTTAATTAAAATACGTGTCGCATTTTCTTATTAACGTCGATTATTTTTACCCTATTGGGTGGCGAATTTTCAATTAAATTAGATAATCTAAAATTGTATGTGTAGCTAATTGTACTCTCACAATATATATTATATTTCTAATATAAAAACTAATAAAAGTTTGGCTAATAGTATTTATACAAAGTAAAAAAAAAAAAAAAAAAAAAAAAAAATATATATATATATTTTGAGAATATTGTAAATTTTCAGTATTTAGTTCTTCAAAAAAGAAAAACTAAGCTATTTGTATTGTATTAGATAATAGTTTAAAAATAATATTAATATAAACTAATATTAATTTAATAATAAATTATAAATTAAATAAGTCTGCTAAGTAAAAATCTAATATTCTAAAAATAAATTTCTATAGTCAATAAAATATGAAATTTAATTAATCTAGTAGTATATAATTAGATTACTATTAGATTAATTAAAATCTTACATTCTGTTATTTATAGAAATCTATTTTTAGAATTTTAGATTTTTACTTAGTAGTATCTAAATAATTATTAATAATAAGTATTAATTTAAAAGTAACAGATATAATTTATAAAAAGAAAAAATATAATAAATTTTAAATTAGCAAATTATATAATATTATAATTTTTTT